AAGTCTTAGACCTTCTTAGTCGTCGTTTTAATTTTATGTAATTCCTTTTAAAATTATGAATTTTGATTCTTCATGTTGTTATAAAATAAGCTTAATTTGTAAGATCACATGATAGTATGATGTAATTATTAATTTACAATATTCGTCCGTAGTTTATTAATTAATTAATTATTTTGTAAAATTTTGTGATATAACTTTCATGTAATTTTTTTTATCAAATTAATAATTTGAACTTTTTATATATAATATTTGTTTACAAATTAAATAACACAATATATATAATATTAAAAGTTGTTGCTGTTTGCACTCAATAAAGGTGTAGAATGCTTCGGAAAAATTGATTTTTTTTTATTAACCTAGATTTCCAACTTGTCATGCGAGCCGACTAATTTTAGGACGACCACATGTTTTGTAGATAGTCTGGAGTCATTGTATTTGAACCTTCGTGGCTACAAGGGGATTTTTATTACTCATTGGATTTGAACCTGGGACCTCCCGGTACTTTTGATCTTTGGAGCTAAGCTCAAACCAATCAGGCATCACCCTTGTGGTTAAAATTGAATCTCTTTAAGTGCCACAAAATATCAAAATTAATCGAATATTATTATTATTATTATTATTATTATTATTATTATTATTATTATTATTATTATTATTATTATTATTATTATTATTATTATATCTATATTGCTTTAGAAAATATATTTATAAAAGTCTTAAAAACAACCTAAATTGCATGAGGTATTGTTCTTTTTCTTAGCCAACATATTTACAGGGACTAGTTTTGACAACTTTGTAATGTTTACAATTATCTGTAATTATTAGACAGATCTATTCCTAATTTAGTGGTAGGGTATACATAGGTTTCTTCCCCTATTTAAGGGGCTCCTGTTTATTGTATCGAGGCAGAGAGAGAAAACAAGATACGACAAAAACTTTTATGGTATCAGAGCTACGGTTCTGACTCTTTTTACCCTACCATCCGATTTTTTTTTCCATCCTCTTCTCATCCCAACCCTTCGGTTCTGATCTAACACCATGACAAAGTCAGATGATATACCTGAAAGCAGTTCTTCTGCCAAATCTCTCCACCCCACCTATTCGGTTTCAAACATTCAGACCAAGATCCGCACGTTAGACGGGTCTAAAGTTACATATTCCTCTTGGGTGAAACTCTTTAGGTTTCACGCCATCGCCTACAAAGTCTTGGATCATCTCAATGATACACCTGCCCCAGCCAACACAGATCCCTCTTATGAATCTTGGAAGGAGTTAGATGCCCTTGTTTCTCAATGGATCTACAGTACAATTTCTGACGATCTTCTTGTTCGAGTTCTTGACACTGAAGCATCTGCACGAACCACCTGGCTCAAACTCGAAAATATTTTCTTGAGCAACAAGCAAGACAAAGCCGCAGCCTTGGAAACCCGATTTGTCAATCTCACGCTTGCTGCTTGTAATTCGGTGGAAGATTATTGTCAACAACTCAAAGATTTGGCCAACCAACTAGTTGATGTTGGCCAACCAGTTCCCGAGAAGCGTCTTGTATTACAGCTTGTTCGAGGTTTATCCCCCGAATTTGATACTACATCATCGCTGATCAACTCCCAGGATGCCGATTGGTATCTGGCCCGTACCATGCTTACCGACGAGGTGATACGTCTTGAAGCCCGGAAACAACAATCCTCATCAGTTCTTGTCACTCCCGCAGCTCCTGCCCCTACTATGATCCAACAGCAGTCCGCTCCGAACAACAGCAATACCTCTCAACAGCCACAGTCTCAATATCGTGGCAGAGGCAGGGGTTGCGGGAAGCAATACCGGGGCCGAGGACGTGGACGTGGGAACCGAAACTCTCAATCTAATTGGGCGTTTCAGAATAACTCTTACCCCCAATGGGCTTGGTGGAACACTCCACCTTGTCCTTACCCTACACAAACCACATGGAAACCCAATCAACCACCACAATACCCGTCCATGACCCCATCAGCTAACTATGCAGGCTTCCCTCCTCCAGGTCACTTTGGCAGCACCCAACACCCAGCTTTCACCTGGTTTGACGCATTGAATCCTTCTGATTTAAGTGCTGCCTTTAATACCATGCAGTTGAACTACACGGATCTTAACTACTACTTCGACACCGGCGCTGAGCTACATGTCACTGACAACCGAGGTATGATCCAACATCCTAATTCTTTTCCTGTTCACACGAAAATTCTTGTTGGTAATGGCAATGTTTTACCTATTGTGGGGTCCGGTATTGGTTTTCTTCCCATATACAACCGTAACTATATTTTACCAAATGTTCTTTACAGTCCACAAATCATCAAAAACCTTTTGTCTGTTCGTAAGTTTACCCGTGACAATAGTGTTTCTATTGACTTCGATCCCTTTGGTTTTTCCTTGAAGGACCTCAAAACGGGACGTCTCCTGTCCCGCCACAATAGCACGGGCAATCTTTATCCAGTTACGCCACCAACACTTCCGCCTCAAGCCTGCTCACTCACATCTACCTCCTTACCTTGGCATGATCGACTTGGACATCCTGGTGCTCAAGTCTTAGACCTTCTTAGTCGTCGTTTTAATTTTTCATGTAATAAAAATCATGTTTCCATTGTTTGCAATTCTTGTCAATTGTCCAACAGCAAACGTTTACCATTTTATGAATTGATATCATTCATTGTGACTTGTGGACTTCACCCATTGCCAGTACAACCGGATATAAATATTACATGGTCTTGATTGACAACTTTTCACACTTTATATGGGTATACCCACTTAAATATAAATCAGAAACCTTCCCAACCTTTACCAAATTTCATAGAATGATTCTCACCCAATTTAACCGTCATATTAAAACATTCCAATGTGACTTGGGTGGTGAATTTGACAACCATGCTTTTAAGGACTTTGCCCCAACAGCACGGCCTCTTGTTTCGGTTTTCTTGCCCGCAAACATCTTCCCAGAACGGCCAGGCTGAACGTATGATTTGACGCCTCAATGATATCATTCGTGCTTTACTTATTCATGCCCATCTTCCGCCTACCTTCTGGGTGGAAGCCTTGCATACAACCGCCTATCTTCACAATATTCTACCTACAAAACGCCTTAACTTTTTTACCCCTACATTTGCCCTATATCTCCGCCACCCAACTTATGATCACCTACGTGTTTTTGGGTGTGCATGCTACCCAAATTCATCCGCCACTTAACCCCATAAGTTACATACCCGCTCCGTCCGTTGCATCTTTCTAGGMTATCCTCCCGATTTTAGAGGATATCGATGCTTTGATCCTACCACGGGCAAAGTCACTATTTCTCGTCACGTTACTTTTGACGAGAACACCTTTCCATACGCCATACCCACACCTAATACCAACTACAATTTCCTTGATGATCTACCACACGGTTTCACTTTCACCAGGCCCATTCCTCGACCTACACCTAAACCGAC